TCTCTCTCTCTTCTCTCTCTCTCTTCTCTCTCTCTCTCTCTCTCTCTCTCTCTCTCTCTCTCTATCTCTCTCTCTCTCTCTCTCTCTCTCTCTCTCTCTCTCTCTCTCTCTCTCTCTCTCTCTCTCTCTCTCTCTCTCTCTCTCTCTCTCTCTCCTCTCTCTTCTCTCTCTCTCTCTCTCTCTCTCTCTCTATCTCTCTCTCTCTATCTTCTCTCTCTCTCTCTCTCTCTCTCTCTCTCTCTCTCTCTCTCTCGTGATTTCTTTATGTAGCCTTTGTTATTCCACGAATGGTATTTCTGATGACCATCCTGGGAAAATATCCTCGAATCAGCGCGGCAGCTTCCCGCCAATTCTGGGCCATTGACAATATCCTTTCACCGTTTTCTGTCAACAGGCGGCTGCGGTGGCCGTCAAATGCGTTTTATCGTCACTGTTTGCTCTCAATACAGCCGCCGTTTCCTGTATGTCCCGCAGTACCCATGCTGCCACCGTCCGCGGCCGGGGGCGGCCACTCGACGGGAGAGGAGCGGATGGAGAGAGGGGCAGAGGAGCGGGAGAGAGGAGAGGAGCGGCGACCTGAGCTGGGCGGCAGCAACCAGTTTACTCTGGCCGGATCTCTGCAGCACTCGGTGGCGCTGCTGCTCAATGCACAGTGAGTGGAGAGCTCGCTCCGTAGCTGTTGTTTAGTTGAGCATACAGCTGCTGAGGGCAGATATAGTAAGGGAGATGGAAAGAATATGTAATAATCATGCAATATGCAGCTGTCATGCTATAAAGTTACCAACGAACTGATCAGGTTTGGCCTTGTATAGCCCCAAATTTGTTTCGTTTCTTTTCACAAGCTATGACTCTCCGTTGATTCCCTTTCTCTTTCGTTGATTAGCATGATATGCTGATTTAATGACACATCATCCTTCCGCGTCGGGCAAGCTGTCTCGATTTCACAGTTGTCCCTTTACTGGGGTTACATATATGCTTGGAGATAAGCCTTGATCAGCAACGACTCCCCACGGTCACGAGTAGTTTTCGTGTTAGAGCAATACGCTAGCATCAAGATGCTCCGAAGTCCCGGGTACTCTGTTCCAACTCTGGACATTGCTATTAGAACCTTGGACATTGCATTGAACACCACCAGACTGGCTTCAACATGTTGGTTTGCCGATTGAAAATGCGGCATTCCGTGCCTAGATGGATATCCTGCGCACAGCGATTGGAGATTGATTTCAACTCGCTGCGTATTGGTTCGATTCCACACATCAGATATATTTGATTCCTTTCGGAGCGCGCGAGGTGTGACTCACATACTTTTCGCCACATGGATTAAAGGAGTGGTGGTGACAGAAGAGATACCTAGTGACTTAATTATAGCTGCCGTCAATCGTTAGCTGCGCTATGTGTGCGGCGATGCGGACGTACTCACAGCCATAGTGACTCGTACGTCAGTGTGTGAGTATGGCTTGAGACATTTTTCGTATGTCGAGTTCCACAATTTGTCATATGGGTAATGCTATTGAACTGAATAATAGAACTGAACGGCTGCGTATTGGACAGCGAACCAGCGCGATATTAGCTGCATGCGCCGTCTTAAAAGCGCCGCAATTTTTTTACAAGTTAATTTGTTTGGACTGCCAATAACTTTACGTACAGTTAACAGTATGGTCGGTTTAAAACCCGTTTTCTTTTTTCGAAATTATAGAGATAAATCATATTATCAGATTATGCGATTGAAAAGAGTGAACTTGTGTTGAGATAGCTACTAGTCAAGTACTCGTATTGGACACAGCTGGCATCGTGTCCAGGGCAGATTCACCTCACAGCTCCGATTTTTTTAGCTCGAGTTTGGTATCAACTCTGCTCAGCCAAATTGAGACTCGTGCAAAGTTGTGTTTTGCAATGTTGTTTTCGTGTTTGATTCGAAACCAGCAATGCACTTAAAGTAGCCTATCACAATGGAGAGTATAATGTGTGAAATTTAAGTTCCACTCTTGAGCTAATAATAATGCCCTGATATTGGCTAAATCCTTCAAAGAAGCCAAAGTACCCGGCAAACATCATATAACCTACCATTGAGCATTCAATTTACTGCCCATTCGTGTTTGAATATGAATATTGCTCGCTGAACTGCATTCGCTCGCCCTTTCAAATCACTCCCTCAAATATGAGAATCGTAATAACCAACGTGAAGACGCTTTGAAGGGCAATATGGAGCCCGGGGGCACCGGGTTCGTTTTATTGCGTTATTTCTTTTCGCATTCCGGCCTCCATACGGCGGATAAGAAGGTTACTAGTGTCTCCGGTAACAGGTTATACTGTGGTGTACCTGGCTCTGCCTACCTGGTTACTCTAGCGGCCTGGCTATGTAGCCCGCCGCTAGGAGGAGTGTGTGTGTGTGTTGGGGGGGGGGGGGGGGGGGGAGTCGGCACCGCTCGCTCTGTCAGCCCAGCTCTGTATTCGTCTTCATTGTCGGCGGTTCACATAAGGTGGCACGGCCAGCCCGTTGGCCGGCGATCCCGGCTGTGACCGGACCCAACCGCCAGTTCTGTCTCGCCTGACTGGGTCTGCTCCGGTCTGTGCTGGTCTGCTCTGGTCTTTGCGGGTCTGTGCTGGTCTAGATTCTGGTCGGGTCGGGTACTGTGTCCGAGTTTGTGCGGGTTTGAAGTGGGGCCTGATCGAAACGGTCGTTTCTTTTTGACAGTGGTCTGGTGTGCTAGTTGAGATGAAATGGCTGGACATTTGAAGTTTGTTCAATAAGTGGACTTATCAAGCGACTCAGGCGGAGAACCTCCTTTCCGTGTCATTTCGTGCCACTTCCGTGTCATTTCGTGCTTATTCGTGATACAACTGGCTGGCGTAACGATTGGCTTAGCACAGGGCCAATGAATGAGGCGTACAGAAACTTGTTAAGAAATGAGACCGAGCACAGCTCGTTTGGACTGTGCTCGACTCCTTGCTGGCTGGGGCCATGTTTGATGTCAACCACTTCAACTCATATTTGGTAGCGAACTAAGCCAAATGGAAATGAATGTCCACCAGACGTCCCGTGGGCGTTATAAGGCGCCCAGTTGCTCAGAAGTATAGCACTTTATGAGTTTTCTGACGCAGATTTGTTCGGCTCTCGACCAGAATGATGTGGTGTAGTTTGTTCCCCAGAATGCATGCCTCGTATATGGAGCACGTTTATTAATTCTGCTAATGGAGTTAGCCGTGAATAACTATTGCGGCTCATTTCCATTATGAAGCCGGATCTCGGGTCGGTCTCAAGTAGTCACATTAGGAACGTTATGCTGCGATCAGGGTGTTATGGGTCACGCCAGCGGCGGCTGCCCTGCGTTCCTCACATTTTCAACATGACTCGCATGATGCATATCATTTCCCAGGCCATGTTGTTCTCGCAATGCTATACTGAGCGCGGGCGCTGTACGCCAGTGCGACGTTATTCTAGCCTCATTGTTTTCGTCATGCGAGACCTACGTCCGCTATCAGTCCTGGCTACGAAATATGCATCTCATTTGAACGCACGAAAGCTGTCTGTTGTCAATATTTCTACTCTCTACCACGCCGTCCTCACATCTCTCTGCTCCTCTCTCAGCGGACTGTCTCTGGCGCTATCATCTTGCCGTTCTCACATTTATCCACGTCTCTCCGCAGGCTGTCTCTGGTGAACGCGGCGCTGTTGAACCACCTGCTGGTCGACCTGTCTCTGATGGAGCACCTGGTCACCCTGCGCCGATTCCTGCTGCTGGCTGATGGGGAGTTCGGCTCCCGGCTCTGCAGTCAGCTCTTCCACCTGGTGAGTCTTGGGTCTTAGTCTTAGGTGCTGTTGAGAAGCTAAAGCATTCAGGCATGACGATGCAGCTATAGTTGGCCAGCACAGACACACGTGAGTACAGCTCGATCGCAACTGACCGCCGCGTCCGAGCGGCCCTGCGTCCGTCCGGGTAGACACCGCCCGAGGGCAGGCACGGTCAGATAGAGGTGCAGGTTTCACCCACGGACAGACACCAACACCTTAGCCTTAGTCCGTGTCTCTGTCTTACTCTTAGTCTTGGTCTTAGGTGAGCCAAGTGTGGAAGGCTTATGTGTCCTAATGGTACCCTTCCGTCGGCAGAACCTCTGGTCTTTGTTTTGAGACGCTGGTTAGTTGTTTTATGTCGATGAAGAAACGCCCGTAAGTGAGTTGTGGTGCGAAATCCGATTAAGTTGTTTGCGCACGGGGTAAACCGCCTGCAGCAAGTTGTTTTCGTGCGCGGTTCATCTGTCTTTTGTCGCCGAGAGGTATTTACTTCAGTCAATTTCGAATCAATACCGATTGACGCGACAGTATCGCGCCGTCCACGCGTCTGTCTTGTGACGACTCAGAGCCGGATCTCACCCCTCCCCGCCTCTGTTTGTCCTCAGGTGGGCACCGTGCGAACGCCACACCAGCTGCTGAGCCCCGCTACACTCAACTCGGTGCTCAGTGAGGCGCTGAGCGCTTCTGTCTGGGGCGACCACCCGCTCACCGAACGGCTCAGCTTCGTGGCGAACGAGGTGCCTGACGTGCTGGACAGATCCTGTGAGTTGACGGCCGAGGGAGATGTGTCTTTGGGTGGTAGAATAGAGTTGGATCTGCCGGACACGCCTTTCAACCCAGCTAGGGATGGGTGATATTACGTGTCGGGTAATCTGGGAGGCGTGTGGGTATGTGTGCTATTTTTGTGCGGGCTTCGCTCCGCGGCCTTGCGCACGGTATGTGTTTCTTAGATTGTAAGACATCCATTCTTTCGTATGCAAACTGTATCTTAGTAGCCGCGCTGTGGACCGTGTGCAGCTGTGTTACGGATGTCCGATGCGTCCAGTATTCTGTCTGCGTGTCCCTTATGACGTACATTCCGTATCCCTTCCCCAGTGTCCCCTCCCGTGTGTCCCTTCTCACGTGTTTCGTCCCGTGTTTCACCCCCACTAACTCCTGCCTCCCGTCTGCCCAGCGCCGTCAGTGCTCACCTGTCTGGACATGGAGTACCGCGCCGGCTGGCCCCACTGCCTGGTACTCACCGACCAGTGTCTGGCGCGCTACAAGGCCATCTTCCATCTGTTCCTGCAGCTGCGCCGTGCTGTCTGGGCGCTGGAGCGCGCCTTCAGCCTTCTGAAGGCGGCGGGTGAGCGATGGGAGGGACAGAAGGGGGCGGAGAGTCGGGGGGGGGGGGGGTAGATGGGCGGTATGTGAGACGGAGCTCTTCTCTATGCCATTTTAGCCTGGTAGGGGATCTATGTATATTGTATGTTCTTATCAAGTCATGTTCTAACTCGAGTGGGATGTAGACAAACATTTGAGCTCATCACTTTACACGGTGGGTTGAAAAGGAAATCTCGTCAATCAAACTAATGTTGGTACTGAATGATTTTGTGCGAAGCCACCAAAGCTAAACTTTACCTCTGAGTTATCGTCTGGGAGTTGCGTAATTCCTTGATGAGCCAGTCAGATACCAGAAGGATTTTTAACGCTGCGTCTGACGGTGCCGCGAAAGTTAGCCGAACTTAAATTTATCCTAATTGTGCCGTTATAAATAACGAAAGAAAGACCATCCACAAGGCCTTACCTCGGCGATAAGCGTAAACTTCCACCAAATTCAGATGTTGAGGGACCATTTGTTCTCACCGTCCCCTCTTGCCTCTGAATGCAAACACAGGTTGCGGTTGGTGCGTTATTCAATCACGAAATCTCACTGAGTATGTTATTTTGACATGCTGTGTTCTAATAAAAACAACTGACCGGATTGTAAATCAGTTCATTACGGAGCGAGCGAAGCGAGCGGAGTCTTTCCTTAGATTAACGGAAATTTCTGAGTATGAGCGGCCGGCCGGCCGGCCGTGCGGACGCTTTTGCGAGGCTTATATCTCAGCAACCACTTGACCGATTTGCATGCGGTAATTTTTGTAGGGTAGCATCATTCCTTCTACCAAGTATTGGACTATTCCCGATGCATGTGGGTGACCCCTTATGCACGTGCCACGTGCAAAACGAAGAGGTGTTAGTTTTGTAATTGTTGCAATATCTCGGTAACTACTTCGCCGATTGAGCTGAAAGTTGGCATGTAGGTAGGCACCCACTAGGCACTGCATATCCATGTGCCAGAGTTGGGGCGCTGCTGCACGTGCGCACGTGCAGGGGTCGTTTCCAGATCTCGAGAACGGCTCGACCGATTGCGCTCAAATTTGGTACACCGTTTTTTTCATAGTAGCTGGAGACTTAAATTTGGTACACAGTTAGGGACCGGTTAGTAGGGTGCCGTGCACAAGTCAGTTGGGACCCATTTTGCACGTGCGCACGTGCAGGATGCCGCTTCCAGATCTCGAGAACGGCTGGGCCGATTGTGCCCAAATTTGGCACATCGCTAGAGACCGGTTAGTAGGGTGCCGTGCACAAGTCAGTTGGAGGTACCCCCTCGCAATTTCGCACGTGCAAGGCCCACCCTCTCGCTCGCTCCGTTAGTCGCCCCAAAAGGCGTTATACTGGTTAATCATTACTGTAACGTACTAGCTTTAGAAAGTTTGAATTTCATTTATAAATCGCAGACATGGGAAAGACAGAAGTATGGGATGGTTATGCTTTTGGTGAGTTCGATGTGCCAGTTGGCCTCGAACGCTGTCGATCGCTCCAACGACCCTCGGTCTGCATTGCTGTTCGATCAGCTATTGTGCAATCCGTTCCTCGCATTGGGAGCAGTTGTATCTAGTTTCATTGACCTTGACCTTTCAAAGTGACCTTTACGTAAACCTGAGTCAGCTTGCGCGCACGGTCTGCAAGTTCATCAGCCTCGCGGACTATGATATTGCCATTGATGGTTTGTGACGATCGCGTCAGGCGCGTGAGTGCTACCGAACCGTCAAATGGAGCTTCCGATATCCGGGCCCGCGGCTGTCACCGAATCTCATTCAGACTGTCAAAGCCCGTTTGTTGGCGGTGATCTGTGTGATGTTTGGCACTCGCCGTTGAGTGAACTGGGAGTAGAATTGTGTCTCATGCGTGTGTAACATATAAGTAGATTCACTTTGATGCGGAAGCCGTAACACGCATCGCCAAACAAAGTACTACATCGGGGTTCATTTGCAACGGGGTACAATTTACGAAACGATTGATCTGACTAGGCAGTCTTACAATAGTCCCTCTTTAACTGATTTGGACTCTTTGAAACCCTGGTGATCATTGTTTGGTTGTGGTGGGGTTCAAACAAAGCGTAGGTGACACGTGTACGCATGTAATAACACAGTCATGCTCACGACTACAAACAGCCTAAACGGCCACACACCTTCACCCTGAGACCTTGAACTGGCGTCTTGATCCTGTCCCTCAGATCCTGCGGACGCTCCGGCACGGTTCAATAAAACTTTGCCGTCAAATCCTCTCGAAGGAAATTTAAGGCTTAAGTCCGGTGAGTGCGTGAAGCAGTTAACGCCTCTCCTTTTGAAGCTGCAAGGCGGCACTCGAGATGTTTCAACAGCCACTGTAGCGACTGGTAAGCGGATTCGAATGCACAGCCACTGCTATGCTCACATTGCAGCTGTGTGCAGGTGCATAACTACAGCTGCAAGTTCTAGTTCAGCGGTAACTACTGCCATTCCTAATATCCTGCGCTGCATTTCAACGATGCTTGATAGCGCGAATGACCATTGGCCGTAGGTTATAAGTAACGTTCTGATTAAGACACTCTCAGAAAGTCGGAACATCTGGTCTTACCTGATCGACAAAAGCGCCACATTTTTGACAGTGCACTACTCAGTAACACGAGCTAAAGTATTGCCATGACAACTGCTTCGGTCACGCTGCTAAGCTGACTTGTCATATACCAGAGGGCAGCAAGAGTGGAGGGCCATTCAGCTTCTGTCGTTCACAGTAGCCACGTCTCAGCACGAACGACTCGCCGTTGGCGAGTTGAGTAGGCGAGAATGGCGTATGCGTGGGTAAAGACGGCGGTAGGCGCCGTGCTGACGGTAAACTTTTCCTTCCCACTGATCGCCGTACTCAGCAATCGCCATCTCTGGGACGAGCCGATGGCCGTCATCGCCGGTAGCATGTCCTTCGACTGCACTGTCCTCGGCCTGTTCATCATGTTCATCGGCATTTACGACATGGCTGGTCTGCGCAGCGAGGCGCTGTGCCGCGCCCTGCAGTACGGAGGCAGCGTCGCCGGCATCGCCTTCAAGGCGGCTCAGTCGTGTGCCGCGCTCGATCAGTTCGTAGCGATTGTGTACCCGCTGCAGCACTACGCCATCATGATGGGGGCCCGGCCGTGGCTCTTTGCCTCCATCTGGGTCGTGTTCGCTGCCAATGTCCTCTTCGGCCTGGTGGCGCACCTGGCCGACATGGAGACGTTCGTCGAGCACGTCGTCAGCCGCGGAGGCAACTCGACCTACAGCGGCTGCCGCTGGGAGACGGGCGTGGCCAACGCCTTCACTATCCTGGGTGAGGTGGAGATGGTGACCTTCTCGCTCATCACCGCGGGCATGCTGGTCTACACAGGCGTGGTAGGCTACCGCCTCAACGAGAAGCTCATGAAGGACCGCCAGCTGCGCCAGGGCGGCGGCACCGGCAGCGAAAGGGAGCACAATACTTTTCTAGACAACCACCGCGCCTTCAAGAGCATCGTGACAGTGCTATCGCTGACCGTTTCGCTGGACATAGTCACGCCGCTGGTGCGCATCGCCAGCCGCTGGCAGCCACGACCGATGTTGAATGGGCTGCTGCTTCAGTTGCGTCTCCTCGGCTTTATCTTCGAAGGCTGGGCTTACGGCTTGCTGAATGGCAAGCTGCGTGCCGCCTACCGCAAGATGCTCTGCGGCAAGTCTCGACGCGTTCGGGGCCTGGTCGTGACTAGCGGGGACGCGCGGCACGCGGTCAAAGCCGAGGAGCCGCCGCCAGTCGCCGCTGCTGCCCCGAACTTGGAGCTCCAGTCGGTCGCCAGCAGCGAAAGGCCGAGGTTCTAGGCATGCAGAGTTTCTGAGAGAACATGGACGAGCTGCTGATGTCCTGAGATAGCCAGCGGACGTTCTAAGAGTCATTGACGACCTGCTGCTGCTGAGGTGTTCTCGGGAGCCAGCAAGCTAATTTTTTATTATCGAAACCAGTCACCCTCAAACAACATTAACCCGCGCCCTGCATGGAGATGTTCGAACACCCTTGCGGTATTTTAAGAATGTCTTAAAAACGATCGCGCGTAGCGCCGCTGTTCTTTTGTGCTCTTTTGTATACATCTTTTCTGCGCATATGAAAATTTCAGACCCAGGTCCCTCAATGTCAGCAACTCTTTGGCATTAGGACTTCTTTGACTGTATTTGGTCTGGCGCTCAGACCAGTCAACAAGCCAGCGTGCCGCTGCATTGTATGCTGATGAAGAATGGCGGAAGGCAATGGCGAATGCCGCAACACCTGTGGACAGTTCCAGCCTCTTGGCGCCGTGGTTGGGGTGTAAGGGGAAACCCATCAGTCGTACTGCTCTCCATGATCAGTGGTGCTCGTGACGGGCGGACGGTGGTGGATCTGGCCCGCGGCACACCTGGTCGCTCCTATCTGTGATTTAGTCCTGAGAGGTAATTGGAATCATAACAGCGGGACAGGCAACGTTGCCCTCAGTACTACCAGCACGAGGATTTCACGGAAAGGGTTTAAACATGTTTTGTAGTGCCAATCACTTTCAAAATATTGCCTTAATGTTGCATTAAAATTCACCAATCGTAGATACATTTTATCACTGTGCATATTGCATATTCGATGCACTTGACTCAAACAGTCTAATTATCATTGCAAGCACGCCAATCTTATATACCTGTAGCATGGCAATATGCGTGGTAATCTGTTAAAATCAACAGCTGAATCATGGTCTCCAGTAGTTTCCACATCGACACGTAAAGAAAAACATTCCATATTCAATTCAGATAGTAATAACATCCTAACCTATCACAAGTGTGGCTTGATAACTGAGTTGTTATTGCAATGACGCCTTTCTTCGAACCGGCTAACGGCTGACAGTGCAGGCGGCGGCGGCGCGAAATGGCTGATTTGTTTCTGTGAATCCAATCCTGGTCGGGTACCGAGGGAGCGATGTCCCGTCTCGAGCTGAACGCTTGCTGTTACGGAGTCCGGGCACCGCGGCTCCGCTGTCAGATTGGTGAGTCCGGGCACCGCGGCTCCGCTGTCAGATTTCTGTCAAAACAGAGCGTGGGTGGAGATGAACCGGACATTCGCTGGGATAAGGTGCATCAGCGGTGCCTCGAGAAAGGCCATATAGCCGTTCTTGCGTATACAACTTGGGTCAATATAGAATGCTGCGGTATCGTTTTAGTCTGAATAGCCGGAACAAGGCTGATAGCTATAACGTGGTGTATGAAGTCTGTTAATAGTGGGTTGTTGCTTTCATGACGGTCACTCGGCTTACGTAACCTACTTGTAGCCACAGAATCCTGAGATTGCCGTCATCTTATGCCCGCCATACCGAATTATGGGAGAAAGCAAACCCAATCATACTGCCAGTGGAGCTCATTCAATGCATAACAAGTTAAATCGGTTCTCTCGGGCCGCATTCCTTCCCTCCGGACCGACACGCTCTCCTCCTTCCTACTCGGTTCTCCGTCCGACCCCAACCCAACCGGGCACGAGTGGTCGCTAATCACCAGTCCGGGCCGAGACGGGCCCATTCTCCGCTGGCCCGCCGGCAGCGCACCATTAGTCGGCCGGCCGGGCGTCTGCACTCGACCGATAATGTCCGTCTCTGGTGCGCCGCCGCTCGTCGACCGAACAGCTTCATCAATAAGACACTCACCGCCGTCAGCCCGCCGGTTCAAAGCACGGACATGTGTAGACTTCGGCAGCGGGCCGTTCCATTCCGCGCCTCCGTGTGGTGTGTGTTAAGTTGAAGGGGCTGGTGAAAATTTACGCGGTGTGAGGGTGTACTTCACCACAGGGATGTAAGAGTTAGGGATGGTTGATTTTATCCCCCAGTACCAAGGAGTCGGCTCATCTGGTTTTTCTATCTTTGTTATATTTCCGTCGGTGTAGGTATGTGTATTGATATTGTTTTGCTGTTGTAACTATCTCATCTCCATTATTTGGTGGCCCTCCTGCAGCACTGAAAATGTCATTCCTTCATATGTTTATTGGTTCTTGACTTATTACGAATAAAAATAATTTGCTAGGGAAGGCGCAACATCAATTATGTCCAGGTGTCTCTTTGGAACGCATCAGCAAAATAACAACTGAGCTATCAAAGGCTCTCTTAGGAAACAGAGCAGTCTATTTTTCTTCGACCGATCTGCAAGTATTTGTGTACCATGGTTGAGAAGGTCTTTTGTTTCCCACAGCACCGCGCCTCTCAAGATTTCGGAATTGAGTTAGCTCTCCCCTACCGTATGTTCAACTTAACGGGCCTGGGCAGCGTTGATGAGGATGGATGCTACTTTCGGGACTCTGACCGGATTGAGTCATGGACTATTGGATCATTTTTATCCATATCCGTGTGCTGCAATGTAATATAAGGCGCTAGGCTCCCTCTCCAAAAATGAATGGTGCTGACAAGAATGGTCCGACTGACGTTTATGTAGCCGCTGCGGAGCCTTGAATTCATCTTGTGCCGTCAGAATAATAACCTACCAGTCGTTTAATGCAATCTAATGGTATGCCAATTGTTGGCACTTAGATACACACATCATCTTTCGAAAAGTCGTTTGTTCTTGTGCATCCTTGTGCAGTGTTTTTGTTGGTGAATTTTCAGCAGCTTAGCTTTCTGACTTCCAAATTAACTGCGGCCGGGCCGGGCTGCAGAGGTTTACGCGCTCTGACCACTAAAGAGAAGTCCGTTTGATGTTAATGTGCTGCATCTGTTTAGCAAAGTTCTATGTAACCAAACGCATATAGGGACGGCCGAGTTAATGAGCGTTCCCGGCCGAAATTGAATGGTCTAACGTAAGGTCAATTCCTTGGATGTCAGCGAAATGAGCCTAGGACTCTTTATGGCTGACTAGCGCACAGCGTGCTTTCAAATGAGGGTGGTTGTGATCTTGACTTGTTTATGTAGACGAACACAATCCACTAGTATTTAACCCGGCAGGCGGTGGGCCTCCCAGCCACCTTCCGCGCGGCGGGGGGGGGGGCATTTTTTTGCCCCCCCCCGTATCTCCGAAACCACTGGACGGATCCGGAAAATTCAAATGGCGTTCGATAGCCCTGTCAAATTTGTTTAGGGAAACCAAATTTCATTGACCTCAGGGTCACCGATGACGTCACAGTTCAGGTCAAAGATAAAATGTTTCACCGTTCACGGGGCTTCTAGGGAAAGCGCTATAACACCGAGTAAAACGCATTTTGTCGAAAATCAGCGATAAGGCGTCAGTTGTCTAGTACATATGTTGCTATTAGAGGTCACTGGTCATACCAGGTTAGGTCACAGGTCAGGTCACCAAAGGTCACCAAGGGTCACCACATGAGCCCAACTTTACTAAGGTTGTGCGATGCATGTTTTATGGCCAGTTTTTCATTTCCAACTCAATGGTGTTGGTTATAAGACCATCAGGTACGGTTTAGGTCACTTTCTGGTGGAGGTCAGGTCAAGGTCAGGTCAAAAAAGGTCAAATTTCAAAGTTGATATTTTTGCATAAAATGGGTAACGATTCGATGCAGCTCGTCACGGGGAGTCTAATGGTGGTCTTTGTTTTGCGCTACGAGGGCTAGAATTGCTAAAAATTGAGTTTGAAAATTTGACGTCATCAATTTTAAACAGTTTTTTCGCTATAACTTGGCCAAAAAAAAAGAGGTATCGATCTCAAATTTGGTATGTAGATAGAAGGCGGTAGGGACTATCACATATATTCCGGTTTTTTCGAAATTCAAAAAACTTTTTGGATTTTTTGGCTATTATATTCAAAAAATCTATTTTTTATTTTTTTGGGTAAAAATCCAAAAAATTCGAAAAACCGAAATAGCAGTTTTGTAGCCCTTTTGATTCCACACCTTTTATATCTGAAACATTTTTCTGTATCTCTAAAGCTGGCTTATTTACCCAATGCAGACCGGACGCTCGTAACGCAGACCAATGCAGACGTAGACGCATCACCAGACGTTCTTTCAACGCATGGATGCTTGGTCTGGTCAATGACAGAATGATAGATAAATGTCTGTGTCTTGTGCTTTGTCTTTATGATGAAAGTGTTCGTTGTTTCGATTTCCATCACACCCAAGTTTTCATTGGTTAGTACACATTTTTTAGTTCCGACTATTGCGTTCTTTCCGTCCGCCCGCCCGTTTACCCTGCCTTTTGTGAGTCCTCCTTTGCGTCCGTCGGCCGGTCACAGGTCATGTCGTTCCCAGACAGACCATTAGCTGCGACCGTGGGCAGGTATATGTCGATCGCCAGCGATGGACAAAAAGACGACAGAATGACAGATGGACAGACGACGGACGAACGACAGACGGGCAGACACAGACGGGCAGATTGACAGACAGACCAAAGCGCCTGACGGTCGGATCGAAGGCTTCTGGGGCGTGTTCTTGTTTGACTTGGTTATGTTTTATCAGCTGGGCTGGCATTTGGGAGACAGAATGGAGGGAAGGTGTTCGATGCTGTCGGATATAACCGGTGTTAGTAGTGAGGTGGCTGTGTACATAGTGTGTAATGTAAATGTCACCGATGCTGTGAAGATTGCGTGGAGGGTTAGTTTAACATCTATATTCACCAGCTAGTCCAACTGCTAGCCCCTACAAAGCTCCACAATAGCCCTACATCTTTGGAATTTCGAAATAACACCACTGTGGTTTCGTCCTATCCAATAGTCATCCAACCATGGAAATACACCGTCTATGTGGCAGACATGTTGACATGGGGCCACATCATGTCGCCCATGACATGACATGGACCGATGTGGTTGCGGTCGCTGTATTCGCGCTGTGGCCCGAGCTTCATTTTGTGTAAATTATTTCTCGCGCAGCCCATCTCTGCATTTGCCGGCGCCCGGTATCCGCCCTGGTAATTTATTCCAGTGCCTTTGTGTCGCATGAATTTCGGCGGCGGCGCGCTGGTAGAGTGTAATAACACTGTTCGGAGCTTTCCGGATCACTTTAGTCTCCATTTGGGCAGCGGTTACCGCGGCGCGCCCCGCACCTGCTCCCCATGGCCCGGCGAGTGAGTGCGGCCGCTACCCTCCCCGGTCCGGCTTCATGGGCGGCGCGTGTGTGTCAGGGGGTGACGATGAAGCTTGACTCATCTGAGTCCGACTGTCGATGACTGACTTTTACCTCGCCCAGTTCTTAGTTAACCCTGCTCTCACTCTGTGATACTAACATTCGATTCGGAAGGGCTGCACTCCTAGACAAGGCATTGCCACTCTGGTTTCTAGTTTCTAGGATTAAGTGAAATGTCCAGTTATCGTTTCGTCTAAAAGAAGACCTGACATACCTGGCCTACAAGTTTTGACCTGTGACCCCTTTCTGTCCCAGCTCTAACATCTAACGCTCTGTGCTCTGTTGTGACCTCACCCCCCTCCCCTCCCCCCGGTCAGGTGAGCTGTCCCCGTCGGGCGCCAGCGGCGGGCCGCAGGTTCAGCGCCTGCAGCTGTGCCGGCACGAGATGCAGCACTTTGTGCTGGCGCTGCAGGGCTACCTGACCGGGCAGGTGCTGCAGGTCAGCTGGGCCGAGCTGCGCCGGGAGCTGCTGGTCAGCGTACACACGCTGGACGAGCTGCGGGCAGCGCACGTCGGCTACATCAGACACGCCGCCAGACGGTGGGTGCAGTCGGGGACGTCAGGGTTATGGCCACGCCAAGGGCGTGCGCGTGGCGTGAGGAGGGGACAGGCGCCTGGCTACACTACGCGTTTGATGCGTGCGTTCCATCCGAGGTGTCGGCTTTTGTGTGGCATCGTTTTCGCAAAAAGTTGGTGCCATTGCTCAGCATCGGGTGGGCTACACTGAAACGGCAGCTCGTAAAACACGCGACCTCGGATGGAACGCATGGAAATATTGTATGAAAGGCATGCAATATCACGAAAATAAAAAAAAAAACGAATAAAATGCAGACCAATGTCACGAAAATTTGGTAAACAGTATACCTATAGTTATGTTCTAGAAGTACCTATCCTTTTTGGGGATCCAGGTAAACCGCCCCGCCCAGCAGGCAGCAACCCTTCTCCAGGAACACACAACTACCCCATGGGGGAACTTAACTGGTAACAGACTGCAACAACCCGCTTAGCACATTTTTTTTCAAATTACCATTAAGGAATCTTTAAAAAGGTTCATTCTCAAATGATTTCAAAATACATTGGCATGGTGAAAAGAGGAAAGTATCACTTTTGTGTATTAATAAAGTAGCATTCGCTATAAAGCAATCATGATTGCGCCGTTTGAACAATATTATATAATAGCGATTAATAATTTGGTAGTGCCTTTCACAGATTTCGACACAGCTTGATTTGAAAAGCGCTTGTCCATTTTTCTGGAATAGTTGCTAGCTCTGATCGCCACTGCCAGCCTTGTATGCAAGCACGCATCTTTAGGTGACATTTTCCTGCAACATTGAAGTGAATTTTACTTGCATTGCTTTGGGCAGAAAACTACCAAAATTGTTTGACCTATACCTGTTATTGTGCTGAGAGGATTCCGCAGTGTTGAGATTTTGCCTTGTTAAACAAACCTTTCACTTGTACTGGACGAAAGGGCGTCTGCCATACCATGCATCGCTCACTTGCCAAATAGACTGTGATGCACGAGCTCAAACTCTGACCCGCCTACAGCCACGTACCCACAACGTTTTATCCACACGAACAAATGTATTATAATGCAGCAAAAGACAGCACCATTTTCAACTTCTATCATAATTGATATCAGCACAATCCGCAGGCCACAGCAATCACCAGACCTCAGGCCAGTACAGAACAGCGGAGTGACTGAGTCAAATCAGCACGTATTAAATCGGCACATCAAAAACAAATAAATAGGTAGTTAAAGCCCGTCATATGAGGTGGTTTGAACAATCCCTTCATATACACAGCACAATAGCTAGCGTCTTCATAGAAAGTGGGGAAATCGGTACCTAGCGGATGTTCATTAGTCGTGCACTTATCTAAAACCGAAGCAATAGAGAAGCAGTAGACAAGCAGTATAGACTTCCCTTGTAGACAAGCACCTAGTGTGTCGCGAGTAAGGCTGTAATTTAACTAGCGATATACTAGGGCGTGAGGGTGAATCTGCACCTTAACCGCAAACGCCAGCCAGCACGCGACAAACGAAGGGCCGACCTTGGGAGCATCCGTAATCGCTACCTCCGCTGGTTTTCATTTCGAGGCAGTTGGCATCTGTTCCACCATTCGGCTCCGATGTTGATCGCCATGCAAAAGATGAGTTGGAGCCGTCCACCGACTTCCACGTTCCCTCCATTTCGGCATCCGATATTCCAGCCCAAGTAGATGAGGCCAGGCCGAGACTGTAGTAGACCAGCTTGAACGTCTCCATGTTGATGACGGGCGAGAGGCGGGCTCCCGGCTGCAGTCCCGCACAGTGATCATCAGCGTCCTGCCAGGCCATGGCCGTGGAGACGTAGTGGTAGCAGTAGTCGTCCACGAAGAGCCAGCCGGAGGGACAGGGGCTCATCAGCCGGCATTTGTTCGGCGCTTCGCAAACATAGCGTGACACTGCTCTTGATGATCGGAAGGCGCTATATTGCATTACATGATAGAACCTTAGGTTGACGTGTCCAGGATCATGAGCGGCTTCATATATCGGTAGCTGAAACGAGACGGCTGCCCCGTCCGGACCAGTGAAAGTGCCGTTCTCTAGCTTTACACCAGTCAACTCTGGCGATGCGGTACGAGAGGGGTGGTACAACAGCCAGCTGCTTTCCTGCATGTCATTCGGCACTGCCAGGTCAGACTGCTCCCCGAGACTCTGACATGCCGCTCGGTGTGCGTCCCAGAGCTGCGTCGTGTCGAACTTCCCTCGAAAGAAGCATCGGTCCCGGAAAGGAAACCAGCCGGTTGAACAGGGAGGCGTCGGAGGGTAGGAGTAGTCGACCGGCATCATGGTTCTGTTATCAGCAGTAGAGTTGTAGACCTGGTTGAACAGCTGACATTGTCCGCCGTCGGTGAACGTGAAGCCGACACAGCCGGACGTCCTGTTGCACCAGGCGGCGCAGCTGAGACGAGACGGCGCCGCAGACTCGGCCAGTGGTCCTGCGGAGAACACATCCAGCCGGCGGACGTACGAGGCGCCGGCCAGCAGCGCGCAGCTGAGGAGCAGCACGGTCAGGGGACGGAGCGCGTCCATCGCGGCTGGTGGCTGACGAGTACCTGAGGGGGACCCGGTATGCCTCACCCGAACATTGGCTGATGTTTTTACAATATGCATTATGCAATATTCATGGTAGCCATGCGGAAGCGACCAGCAGCACGAACAGCCAAAGTAATGATATTGCGGAACATGACGCAATAAACGCTTAATGCTGAATTGCAACGTAATGTGCTGATGATAAGAGGAAAATGAAGCAAAAATAAGTGAAATATTGTTTGTCCTGAAAGTAGCTCGGTTATCATTTAACCCTCGCCGGACCTATTGGTTTTCTTCATACGCGCCGGCCGAGGGGGGGGGGGGGGGGGCGGGTACGACCCCCTCGCCGTTTCGCCCCCGGTGGAGCTAGCGCGTCGCGGAAAAAACGAGCGTGTGCGCCGTTATGAGACGCAGAGATTGGTACCCGATTTTAAGGGCATAGGTCAACCGGTGACCTCTGAGGTCAGGTCAAGTGCCCCAAGGTACGGTTCAGTTTTTTGGTGAATAACTTCGCAAAAAAACGGCCGCAGAGCCGCGATTTTGGCAGCATCGTGCTCGCCTCGCTCAGGCGCGTCGAATGATATACTTTTTGTACGGGTCAGGTCAACTTAGGGTGTTGACCTCAGGTCAAGGTCAGGTCAGCACCCCCAGGTCACGAAGTTGGTTGAAAGAGGTCATGTCGCATATCATCGGCAGCTCTTCCTGGTCTTCCTGAGTCGATTCGGCAGGTCTTCCTGAGTCCATTGGTGGCTTTCCCGACTCGCTAGCTCAATTTGATCAAGAGTTATTGACGAAAATATAATATGACCTTGATGACGTCATAAATGACGTCACGCAAGGTCAACATTGCAAAAGTGACGCATCTAACCTTGCAAGAAGTGCATCAAATCGCGATGCTGTGTGCTTGAGATAGTTGGAGATCGTTCCCGGCGCCAGAATAGCAGTTTTCATTTTTCCCCATTGACTTATAATGGTGAGGTCACGAAAATGACCTGACCTCATATGACCTTTACGAAAAATCCGAGATATACAAGTTGTGAGACTCATAATGGATACTAGATCCTGCAAGTTTCATTTCCCTGTGACATCTCCTCTGGCAGTGAAGGCGTTGCGAAGTTGCGACATCTGATGAAGATCGTGCAGAGGTTCACTTATGACGTCATAGGTCAGTGACCTGACCTAATCCAAAAATGCGGTTGGTGTCAAAAGATCCGGCTTGAATCAAAGGTCAGGTATGCCAAGTTTCAGCTTTCTATCGCCAGCGTGTTCGGAGCTATCGCGAAAAAACTTATGGGGGTGCGGCACCCGCCCCCCCCCCCCTCGGCCGGCGAGGGTTAACCCTCGCCCCGTTGGGGGGGGGGGGGCAATATGGCCATTGCCCCCTCTGGTTTTTCCTGAATAGCAAGAAAACGGCGGTGCGTACCTTACCGAGCATCAATTTGACACCTTCAACAAAATTTCAAGTCTTAGGTCACCTTAGGTCAGGAGTTATTGAGGTCAAACTGAGGTCATCTTCGAGCAAATATGAGCAAAAAACCTGAAATCTTGAAACATTTACAAAAACTACAGTTAACAAGCAATTTCCAAGTTCTTTATGTGGTTGTATAGAGAAAAGACGGCGCTACAAAACTGCTATCTCGGATTTGCAAAATTTTGTGATTTTGACCCCCAAAAGTAAAAAGTTTTTTTTTTATCAAATAGTAAAACCCCATTTTTTTCGAATTTCGTAAAAACCGAAATGTTGCTGATAGTCCCTGCGCTCTTCTATCTACATACCAAATTTTAGATCGATGCCTCCTTTTTTGGCCAAGCTATAGGAAAAAAGTGTTCAAAATTGATGACGTCAAATTGTTTAACTCAATTTGTAGCAATTCTAGACCACGAAGCGCAAAACAAAGACCTCCATTAGACTCCTCGTGACGAGCTGCATCGAATCGATACCCATTTTATGCAAAATATCCAAGCTTGAAATTTGACCTAATTTGACCTGACCTTGACCTGACCACCCTCAGTGACCTAACCTCTGTGACCTGACCTGGTATCATCTCAAGTAGCAAGATATGTGTTTGGCGCACAATTCCCGATCGATGATGTTACCTACATTGCATGCATTTTACTCGATATTAGAACACATTTCTTGAAATGCCTGAATTTACAACACATTTCTTGAAATGCCTGTAAACGGTAAAAAATCGGCATTTGACCTGACCTGTGACGTCATCGGTTTGACCGAGGTCAATGAAATTGAGTCACTTAGTACTGGTAGTTCCTCGTTAGGGCTATCGATCACCGTGTGCTGCTTGTCGCTATATTGCGTGGTTCTCGAGATCTTGGGGGGGGGAAATGCCCCCCCCCCAACGGGGCGCGTTGCTCGGCAGACCTTAACGGTGCGGGGGTTAACAAACAAATTAACACAATAAATTATTGGCGATTTGCGTGCACAGTCGTTAAAGAGTATATCTAT